CAACTTCGTGAATTAATTTTGATTGAAGATTTAAAAAATTTCTTACAAGACAAAATTGTTGTTTATTTGAATGAGAAGAAAATGTTGACTCTTGCTGAGGCTGCTGTGTATGCAGACGAGTTCACTTTGACTCATAAAAATGCGTTTGTTGCACGCCGTGAACCGCATCATTCCGTGCCTTTTGAAAAAAATAATACAACTTTAAAAGTACCTAAGCAGGCAAAATCTTGTGAGTGCTTTTATTGTCACAAAATTGGCCACTTGATTGTGACATGTCCATCATTGAGAAAGAAAAATCAGAGGAAATCAACTAAAAGTGTTGGTTTCATTCATTGGTTTCATTCACAGTAAATCAGATTCAAAAATTTGATGCAGGGTATGATCCATTTGTATATCAAGGAATGATCTGCTTCCACTTCCGGAAGTTATCGAAACCCTATGTGTGACCCTGTTACTTTTAGCGAGTTAGCGTCTGAATTTCCGTAAGTTTTCTGTGCGTGCATGGTTACGCGGGCTCACGCGTGTAAATTTAGTGATTTGGTTGATATTTCTGACACATTTTTGGTAACTGAGAACAAGCATGGGGATAGTACTGTGACACCTGTGTCGCAAGGTTTGGAGACGCTGTCCATGGCTAGTGGTGCTGAACTGGAGTCAGGTGATCTGCCGCTGTCCATTGATTAAGTTCTGATTTCTGCCAAACAGAAAAAAGACCCTTCTCTGTTGCGCTGAAGAAATGTGGCGTTAACTTCAGAGGAGACCGTTTATATTTAGTTATTTTTGGGACAACAAAGTATTAAAGAGAATATGGACCCCGAAGAGGTCTGACGGTTTAGGTTGGGATGTTGTTTTCCAACTGGTAATGCCTAAGTGTTTACGCAAACAAGTTCTGAGTGTGGCACATGATAATGTTGCTGGGCATTTGGGCATAACCAAAACGTATGATCGGATCTTGCGTTGTTTCTTCTGACCTGGTATTATATCAGACGTAGCCCAGTATTGACACTCGTGTCACGTGTGTCAGGTTGTGGGAAAGCCTAATCAGACTATTCCTCCAGATCCCCTTAAATCTATTCCTGTCATGGATGAGCCTTTCGCATGAGTAATTTTGGACTGTGTTGGACCATTACTGCAAACGAAGTCTGGACATGTGTATCTGATCACGCTTATGTGCACGGCTACACGGCTACACGTTATTCAGTGGCAATACCGCTACGCTTGCTGAAAGCAAAGGCTGTAGTAAAAGCCCTGATTATGTTCTTTTCTACCTAATTTTATGTCTCGACTTTTTAAGCAGGTGCTGTCTCAACTGAAAATTAAGCATGTTACATCTAGTGCTTCCCATCCTGAGTCCCAAGGTGCTTTGGAAAGGTTTCATCAAACCTTGAAGTCCATGTTAATTTACCTTGTTTCATTCAGTACTTAAGTTCTTCCTTTTCCTGTTTTGAGAGTGTTGTATTCATCCTTCTGTCCTGTTTACCTGTGCGTTTTTGATTAAAGGCCTGCAACACTACGTGACAAACATATGTTAATTGTTGCTAGTTTAAGAGCTATCCAGTTGAAGTTTCAGTTGACACTTGCTTGCATGCCTTGAACTGTTAATAATGTAGGTGGACTCAGCACTTAAGGTGCTGAGCACTTGAGGTATATAAAGTGGCCTAATCTCAGTTAGTACAGGAGAAGCATTTTGTCTGTCAGAGTGAGCAGTAGCTGTAGTGTGCTTGCTGTGTTTGTTGATCTGGATTAGCAGCTGTTGCTAGCAAGGAGTTTGAACTGCACTACCTGCCTATCCCATTGATAGTCCTTGGTGACTTCAACATCCACCTAGAAAAACCTCAAGTGACTGACTTCCTAACTCTTCTGGCATTATTTTACCTCACAAGACAGCACACCTGTGTGACATACAAAGTTGGCTAAGAGCTAGACCTTATTCTCACATGTAACTGTACCACTGAAAACCATTTTGTTACTCCATTACCAGTGTTGGGCAGTAACTAGTTACTGTAATAATATTATTTTCTGCAGTAACTAGTAGTGTAACTAATTACTATTATGATTTCAGTAATAATATTACAGTTACCATCCATAAAACAGCTAGTTACTTTTGATGCCTCAACTCCTACTGAGTTGAAATCCAACAATCCAATCATTTCTAGATTTATTTTCATAATTTTCACGACTCGCACAGACACATGAAGTCACCAGTGCATCAGAAAAGCTTGGAATATGGAAAAGCTTACATTCAGGGGATGGAAATATTTCCATTACACTGATTTTGTCAGGAGAAAAGCTGATCTGAACACAGATGTGTAAGTTGTGGCATTACTTTACTCTGACATTACATGGCTTGCCCACCCACACCCCTCTGATCCCGATATTAGTTATATTACTATAATTAAAAATCTTATGAATTTATGTTATTTATTTTGATAAAATACTTCAAGAAATATAATCATATTTGGGTAACAGAGAAATTATAACTACAATTAGCTTCAATCTACACGACAATTAATACAACACTTTTACTTAAAAGTCACTATCAATCATGATGAGGCAGGAATATATTGTTAGTAACATTTTAGAAAAATGTTATGGGGAAGAAACACAATTACAACTTCTGTGGGGTGTAAAGGAAGTGTAATGTAACTACTAGTCTAACTACTTACTGTTGCCAGATAGTAATAAGTAAAGTAGTAACTAGTAACGAGTAATAACTTACATTTTTGGAGTAACGAGCCCAACACCTCATTACACCTCTCTGACCACTTCTTTCTCACTCTGCCTTCATGCCTGCCACTGACCTTCTGGTCTCCTTTCACCGTAACCTCCATTCTCTCAAGACATCTCACCAACATTGCTACCCGCTCTCACTTACATCATCAACACATCCCTCACTACTGGCAAATTTCCCACCACATTTAAGCAGGCTTGGGTAATTCCACTGTTCAAGAAATCAACACTCAATCCCTCTGCAGTTGAAAACTACAGACCAGTCTATCTTCTGCCTTTTCTATTTAAAAATAATTGTATTTAATCAGCTCTCTGCTTTTCTGCCACAAATCAACTTACTTGACAAAAACCAGTCTGACCATTGCTGAAACTCTTCGGCTGGCAAGAGCAAACTCCAAATCATCTGTTTTTTTTTGTTTTCTGCTTGATCTGAGTACAGCCTTCAACACTGTGAACCACCAGATCCTTCTGCCCACTTTCTCTGACTTGGGCTCCAGTCTAACCTTACAGGCAGATCTTTCTGGGTTTCATGGAGAGGTGGGTTGTCTGAGTCACATCAGCTAATCACTGGAGTTCCTCAAGGTTCAGTACTCACTCCTCTTCTTTTCTCCATTTACACAACCTCACTTGGCATGATCATAAAGGCACATGGCTTCTCTTACCACTGCTATGCAGATGATGCGCAGCTCTGTCTTTCATTTCAACCTGATGATCCCACTGGCTCAGCCTGTATCTCTGCCAGCCTTTCAGACATCTCTGCTTGGATGAAAGTTCATCTGCAGCTCAAATTTGCAAAGGCTGAGCTCTTTGTAATCCCTGCAAACCCATCAGTTGACCACAACATCATTGTGCAGCAAGGAACCTGGATATAGTGTTTAATGACCAACTGAGCTTTTCCATCCACACCTCAACAACAGCCTAGTCATGCAGGTTTGCACTGTACAACATTAGGAAAATCAGAATTCTGTCAGAATAAGCAGCACAGTTACTCGTCCAAGCGCTTGTAATTTCAAGACTGGACTACTGTAATGGGCCTTCCAACAAGTGCAACTAAGCTACCAGAAAACAGTAGCATGTCTAGTCTTCTATCAGCCAAAGAGAACCCATGTCACACCCTCCAGATCTCACTCCATCAAATGTAAGTTTTTAATGCTGGCTTTCAGAACCACCACTGCAACAGCTCCTCCCTACTAGTGTTATTTTAGTTAATGAAAACTATGATGAAAAATGTTTGTTGACAATCTTTTTTCCCATGACTAAAATAAGACGATGACGAGATGACAATAAGGTCAATAAACGATAACTATGACTATATCAACATGCAATATCATTGACGATAAAAGATGAGACTAAAATGTACTTCAAAAAAATAAAACTTAAAATATTATTGTGGCTGCTGTGCACGCCTCTACTATGTGAGCTTTCATGTGTGCGGTTACCAGATACCAAGAGTTGAAATCCACAAATCAGAGCTTCTCTGTTAAAATTATAAACTTTCTACCCAGTGTTTATCTTAATTTTTTCAATCTGGCAACCACGAGCACGTGCTTGCTCTTGATTGCGAAGAAGCCCCGACGAGGATCTGAAAATATGGACAAGCAAGTAACCTGGCGTTTAGCAATCTCCATGTGAGATGTTCGGCTTAAATGAAAGTGTCATTCAGCCAGTCCGTGTTCTGTCATGAGATCTCGACTATATTGTTTGCGATTGTGGTTGTTGAATAAATGTACTTACTCAACCACTGTTGTTTTAACAGAGAAATATTGCAATTTTGAATGATTAAAATTACTATTAGGAATTTCACTGTTATAATATGTTTTGTTTGTTTTACCAGTTTTCATAATGTAGACAGGGAGAGTGCATAAGTGTAATTATTAATTATGCATATTAATTTACACATTAAATAGCCTATAATAAATCATTACACTAGATGAGGCAAAATAAACCATTTGTATGAGTCGACATTCTATTGATTTGTGCTTATTGGTGAAAGTGCAGTGAATTGTGCACCTGAAATGCAAAAATCAATTTCTCAAATGACAACGATCATTACGATTATAATTTTGAGCAAAAATATTTTTTATCAGATTAACCATTATACAGCATGAAAATGTGACTAAGATTTCATTGACTAAAACTGTTCCTTCACAACAAGGAAAAATAAATCACTCTCCGAAACCTTTGCCTTCTCTGTTCCTCATTGGTGGAATGAGCTGCCTCCACCTGAACTGATAAAAGCATCACATCCTTCAAAAAGCAGCTGAAGACACAGCTCTTCTGTAAGCACTTAACCACTCCACACTCTTAAAATAATGCACTTACACACACAAAAAAAATTATTCTCGGCATTTCTCCTCTTATCTAGCTTGGTTTCTAATCTTGTTGTCTAATAAATCTAGCATTGTGTATTACAAATGTTGTTGACTCTGACAAATTACTTTGTTCCTCTTTTGTACGTTGCTTTGGTAAAAGTGTCTGCCAAATAGATAAATGTAAAATGTAAACTTAAATAAAAAACTGTAAGACTTTTTTTATTACTGTCATTCAAAGACTATTGGAATTGAGTATTACTGAAGCAAAGCTAAGAATTACTGGAGGTAATATTAAGCACACCAAGGGACTGTGATACTGAGCAGTCCCTAAGAATAAATTACACCCACAGAAAGTATTATTTAAATACACATGTTTGACTGAGCTGTTCCATTTACAGTTTCCATTGGATTGTGTTACCTGCTGAATTTCTTCATTTGTAATAAACAGGCTGTGGTTAGATCCTCACCTCATCTCTCTCTCTCTACGACAAAACATTAAAACTCGAGCCACTGTGCGATTTACCCGAGTTAGTGATAAATAGAAAAGTGTAAGAGAATATCTATCTTTATTTTGTATTTTGATTACATCTCATGGATGGAAAATAATCAGCAGAAATGTAAATATACAATGTTCATGTCATATGTAATTGTGACTCCATGGTGTGTTTTCTAATCCCAGGTTAAACTGTTCAGCAGTTGCTTAGTGATAACAATGCAGGTCTTTGGACTGAAATTCTGAGTAAAAGTGGTGCATCCCAGTTTGCCCCTGATGGTGTCTGTGTCACAGGAAATGGCCAACACCAACACTATTACAAATATGACCTGAACAACATGTTTGTGAGTGTCTGGATGTGTCAGACACACACATTCTAACATTGACATTTAGAAAGCAGCAAATGAGCCTGGTGTGAAGTTTTAGAACCAGAGATGGTTTACCTGTCCTCTGACATTTCTACTCACATACCTCTTTCTCTGAGAGACGCTCTTGTAGGGAGGCAAGTTGGCTTTTCAGTTCCTTATTTTCATTCTTATACATTTCTGCCTCTTCTGTCTGTTGCAGAAGAGAAAGTAGTGGTTAGTCATTTGTATACAGAAAATATTGTTTTGTTTTGTTACTTTTTTATTCACTTTTGGTTAAGAACAAAGATGGCAGCAGCTGAGAATGATGCTCCATTCCTCCAAGATTGTGGTAGTTTGAAATCTGAAATTGTCTAAATTAAAGCTACATTTACACTACAATGATGTACTATGGATCATTCACATGGATGCTGTATTATGCCTATAGTCCAAGCACACACAAAAAATTGTGTTTTTGTAATTTACATGGAGACGAATCGTTTTCAGGTCCCCAAAATGCTTTTGTCATGTAAATACCAAAACACATTAAAAGCTTTCTGTTATTAGTTGAAAACTGTCTCATGTAAACAGCCCCTCAATGTGTCTCAATCTAAACAGTCAGTCTTTCGAGTAGGCATTGCAGCAGCTATAGAGTCAGTAGATAATCTGGGCTTTGTCAAGTTAACTTTAAAATAATGTTTAAATGTTGCATCAGAAAGTTTATTCATGTATTTATTTATGAATGAATAAATGAATGAATGACTATTACTGGAAATAAAACTGAAATGGTCCCAGTCTCTTAACCTCATACATGCTCATAGTTTACCTAAAACTTTTAAGCATATTTATATAAGAATTGAACATTGTGTCTTAAGAGTTTTGCAAGAACCACAGGTGGTCAGGCATGTGTCTTGTAGAGTGCAAGTGTGTTTTCTGTGATATATTCAGTGGACGGAGTGCGACTCTGAGCTAAAGTCAACAAATCCTCTAGTTTGATTTATATGTCAGATTGCAGCTCTGATTTATTTAAATAGTGGGGGAAATTACCTGACAAATGACAGGGCACACTTTTGCTTTTTGAAATGACTTTTTAAAAAAGAAATATCCCTGCCAGCTACCAACTGTCTTGCAGAAGGGGTGAATAATCCTGCTCCTGGAGGGACACCTTTCATCAAAATTCCATCAAAATAGCTCCATCCCTAATTAAACACACCTGAACTAATAAAAGTCTTTAGGATCACTAGAAATGTCTCGGTTGCATATGTAACCCTCGTTCCCTGAAGAAACGGTAATGACCGACGAATTGGGATCTCGCTTAGGGAGACCAATCCCCTTCGAGTGTAAACTAAACGAGCCAATGCACATTGGCATGCGATGATTGCATCCAGCCGCCACTGATCGCAGAGTGAGTATAACTAGGCAGCAGGTGCAACGCATACTCAGGTTTTCGCTGAGGACCCGAGCCGGTGACCCGGCCGCTCAGCGTTGGTACAGCAGCTGTCGCGACGGGACGTGACGTCTCCATTCCCTCCTTCAGGGAATGAGGGATACATACGTAACAGAGACGTTCCCTTTGAGTTGGTCACTCTCGACGTCATGTTGGTAATGACTGATGAATTGGGATCCCTACAAAAAACACCATGGATTCCAGTGTCTTCCAGTGAAACTTCCAGTGTCCTATGCGAGCCTCCTGCACCCCCTTTTCAGCGTAGGCCGGGGCTCGCAACAAGAAGGCGACCGACGAATTGGGATCCCTACCATGGATGCTGCCCCTTCCAGTGTCTTGGACGAGCCTCCTGCGCCCCTTTTTGGTATAGGCCAGGGCTCGCAACAAGAAGGCCAGTCACTGTTGTCATAGCACTACCCACTCAGTGAGACTGGATAACACTGGGAAAAAGCCCCATCCTTCCCGAAGGAGATTTCGGAAGTACTTACAAATATGGACAAGCGTTTAGGTGCATGTGGAATATTAGAGGTGATTATAACCCTCTTGGAAATGGCAGAAGTCTGCCGGGGAAACACGGGCTCTGAGGCTATACCGTGGACTTTACACATATGGGATCCACTTAGGTCTCTACATATGGAAGCCAGCCCTCTACCGGTTCTCACAGATTCAGGGCCATCCTCTGCTTAGAGACGGCATTCCCCTTCTGCCGGCCTCCATAACAGACAAAGAGCTGATCTGAGGTCCTGAAGCTTTGTGTCCGGTCTACGTACCATCTCAAGTCTCGGATGGGACAAAGCAAAGCTAGGGCAGGGTCTGCCTCCTCCGGGGGCAGCGTTTGCAAGTTCACTACCTGATCCCTGAAGGGGGTAGTAGGAACCTTGGGCACGTACTCGGGCCGGGGCCTCAGGATTACCTGTGGCCAATGCAGTCAGGAGCAGAGTTTTAATTGAAAGAAACTTTAGCTCGACTGACTGCAAAGGCTCAAATGGGCCCTGCTGTAGTGCTTTGAGCACAAGAGTCAGGTCCCAAGAGGGTATAGAGGGGGGCCGGAAGGATTTAACCTTCTTGCCCCCCTAAGGAGCCTGACGACCAAGTCATGCCTTCCTACCGACTTCTGTTCCATGAGGTCGTGGTATGCAGCAATTACAGCCACATAGACTTTAAGGGTGGAGGAAGACAGCCTTCGCTCCAACCCTTGCTGCAAAAAGGACAGCACGACTCTAATCAGGCATCTTCGGGGGTCCTCTCGGTGTGAAGAACACCACTTGACGAACAGGTTTCACTTCAAGGCATAAGCGTGTCTTGTAGACAGTGCTCTTGCCGAAGTAATTGTGTCTAACCTCTTGGGGTAGGCCACCTAGAACCTCCACGTCCCGTCCAGAGTCAGTCACATAGACTTTGAGGGTGGAGGGAGACAGCCTTCGCTCCAACCCTTGCTGCAAAAAGGACAGCACGACTCTAATCAGGCATCTTCGGGGGTCCTCTCGGTGTGAAGAACACCACTTGACGAACAGGTTTCACTTCAAGGCATAAGCGTGTCTTGTAGACAGTGCTCTTGCCGAAGTAATTGTGTCTAACCTCTTGGGGTAGGCCACCTAGAACCTCCACGTCCCGTCCAGAGTCAGTAGATACTTCCTCAGAAGAATCTGCCAGAGAGGGGCTGTCACAAGGAGCATTAGTTCCGGGATCCAGGTCCGAGTGGGCCAGTAGGGCGCCACAAGCAGGACCTGCTCTTCGTCCTCCCTGATCATGCACAGAGTCTGTGCGAGAAGGCTCATTGGGGGAAACGCATACTTGCGAAGGCCCCGCGGCCAGCTGTGTGCCAGTGCGTCCGTGCCGAGTGTTCCTTCGATCAGGGAGTAAAACAACTGGCAGTGAGAAGTCTCTGGAGACGCAAACAGGTCTACCTGAGCGGCTCCGAAATGTCTCCATATCAGCTGGACCATCTGGGGATGGAGTCTCCATTCCCCGGGGTGCACAGCTCGTGACAGCTCATCGGCTGCCCGGTTGTGCAAGCCCGGAATGTGAATGGCACGAAGCGACCTCGGATGCTTCTGACTCCAGAGGAGGAGGTAGTGGGCGAGTTGCAACGGGAGCGTAGACCACCTTGTCAGTTGATGTACACAACGATCGCAGTGTTGTCCGTGCGGACCAGCACGTGCTTACCTCGTAAGCGTCCTCTGAGGCAAGGCGTACTGCTAACAACTCTAGGCAGTTGATGTGCCAGTGCAGTTGGGGGCACATCCAAACCCCCGATACTGCGTGCCCGTTGTACGTGGCCCCCCAGCCGGTGGTGGAGGCATCCGTGTAAACCACAGCATGCCTGGAGACCTGCTCTAGGGGCACTCCTGCCCGGAGAAACGCAAGGTCTGACCACGGGGTGAAGGTTTGGCGGCAGGCCGGTGTGACTTGGACCCGGTGAATGCCGCGTTGCCACGCCCACCTCGGGACTCTGCCATAGAGCCAGTGTTGAAGCGGTCTCATATGAAGCAGCCCCAGCGGCGTGACTGCTGCTGCAGCTGTCATATGCCACAGGAGCCTCTGAAACTATTTCAGTGGGACCGCCGTCCTGCTCTTGAACATATTCAGGCAGTTCAACACCGACTGAGCACGTCCCTGCGTGAGGTGTGCTGTCTGTTCGACCGAATCCAACTCCATACCGAGAAAAAAGATCCTCTGCGTCGAGGAGAGTTTTCTCTTTTCTCAGTTGACCTGAAGGCCCAACCGGCTGAGGTGTGAGAGCACCAAGTCCCTGTGTTCGCACAACTGATCCTGAGACTGAGCTAGTATGAGCCAGTCATTGAGGTAGCTGAGAATGCGAACGCCCTGCTCTCTTAGGGGAACAAGGGCTGCCTCCACAACTTTTGTGAAGACACGGGGCAACAGGGACAGCCCGGAGGGCAGGACCT